AAGAGAGATAACTTGTCTAGATTTTATTTCCGTTCGTAAAATTGAGAAGCTTGAAACAAATGGACTCTATAACGTTTTTTTCTTGCCCTACCATTTTATTATTTATTCGAGGCTTAAAAGACTATGATATTCATTGCATTGCCAAGAATCTGAGGTAGAGGTGGTTGACACCAACCATGTGAAAGAGTAAAACAAGGGTCTTATATGCATAAGTTCAGTATGCTGTGTGCTGCCGTGTGACATTCTGAGAGCTTATAAGGGCTTTATAGGAAAGCCACAAAGATGAGATAACAGGAAACTGAAACCTGGGATAGGTAGACAAATATAGAAAGGAATTGATACTGTTTGTTCAAGAGGAATATGAGAAATAGCCTAAGAACAGTTGGAAATAATTTTCCCTTTATGCAACAAATATTCATAGCCTACTATGTGCAGCCACTGTTCTTATCAAGGATCTGAGGATGAGATGAATTGAAGTTGGAATAAGCTGTAGCAAATGCTCCTTTTAGGAAGGAACAATTCTTCATCAGGGTCAGACGAACTAGATTGGGTCAGGCAAGGTGCTTGGGAGATCTCCTGTAGTCTTTAGAGATGATAATCCCTTGTATTTCAGATGGTTTAGGAAACATCTTGCCCAATGGTACCCTTTCTGTGTCTTCCCAAATGGAATCCTTAATTTCTTTTCCACTCTTGCTGGCTTTGTCACCAAAAAAGTGGGAGATAAGACTTCTGGTAATTGCTCCATCTTTCTCTCAATTAAAATATGCTAGAGCTTAGAGTGATGGGGATAGCAGTATGCCAGGATAAGTAAGATAGAGTGGGATTTCAGGGGCACCTGGGTGGCTCAGTTGGTTAAGCGTCTGCCTTCGGCTCAGGTCATGATCCCAGGGTCCTGGGATTGAGCCCCATGTCAGGCTCCCTGCTCACTGGGGAGTCTGCTTCTCCCTCTCTCTCTCCCTCTGTGCTCTCTCTCTCTCTCAAATAAATAAATAAAATCTTATAAAAAAAAAAAGAATAGGATTTCATCCTTCCCTGACTTATGCTTTCTCAATGCAGTGTCATTAAAAACCACCAGTTCCCAGAATAATTGTTTCTGAACAATTATTAATTATTCCAAACAATAAAAGCACCAAAATACACTACAAAGCTAACTGTGGTCTTTAGGTTCCATGATGCCCCAGTGATGAATCAGCCTTCTGCTTACAATATTCTCTAAACCCCTTAAATGTGCCCCAGGATTTCCTCTACCACCTTGCCCTTAATTCAGCATGGCTTTGTGGGGTTCACAGTGTAGAAGTGATTTTGAGGTAGTTCATTGTTTTGAAATTTCTTTGCCATTTCTTTCATTTTTTTGGATAAATAAAAGTTATCCATTCTTTCAGTGGTTTTCTCTTTTACATTTTTACGAAAGTAAAAACAGTACAGTAACTCTTTTTTTCAAGTTTTTATTGAAATTCCAGTTAGCTAACATACAGTGTAATACTAGTTTCAGGTGTACAATGCAGTGATTCAACAATTCTGTACAATACCCGGTGTTCATTGCAACAAGTGCAATCCTTAATCCCCATCACCTATTTTCCCCATCCCGCCACCCACCTCCCCTCCGGTAACCATCAGTTTGTTCTCTATAGTTAAGAGTCTGTTTCTTGGTTTTTCTGTCTCTCTTTTCCCCTTTGCTCTTTTGTTTTGTTTCTGAAATTCCACTTATGAGTGAAATCGTATGGTATTTGTCTTTCTCACTGACTTATTTCACTTAGCATAATACTCTCTGGCTCCATCCATGTCGTTGTACTCTTTAACATTTATTTATTATTGTGAAAGCAGAACTACACAGAGTGTTTATATGACTCATGAGATGCTATTGGAACCAGCTGTTGATTCATAGACCTTATAGAACCAAGGTCTCAAAATTTGCTGTTTTACCCATAGTAAGATCTTACCCGTATCTTACTATATAGGAAATATAATATTTTACCTTTAATACTAAGCCTTAAGTGTCCTATATTTTTACTACAGCATCCTACTTAGACTTCATTTGATTTAAGCCTTAGTTTTGAAACCGCAGACTTTATTCCAATAAGACAGCGATTTACTGTTTCATGATTAGGAATCTGTCTAGAACCTTCTGACTCAAAGTGTGGCCCATGGACCAGCAGCATATGCATCATCTTTAGATTGTTAGAAATGCAAACTCCCTATCTTTCTCTCCCTACTTATTGAATCAGAATCTGCATCTTGACCAGAAACCCCAGTTAATTTGTGCGCATGTTAGGTTTGGGAAGCACTGGATTTAAATCTATAAATCACACTAATTCTAGCTGAGATTGCTTTGAGGTTGGTGGCAGAACAGTTCTAAATTACATTTACCTTTGATCTGGAGAAAAGATAAACCCAACAACTGTGAATGACTTGCATAGTCTGAAAATACTTAAAATGATAAAAGTGTGCAAATTATATGAAATCTGCAAGAAATTAGAAATACTGGCAAGAAATAAGATAAAAATTATCCCAGAGAATATGAACTAAATGTGTGTGCACAAAGTATTCTGCAATGCATAGTACTGGGGAAATTGAACGTGGAAAACATCATGATAGATGTGACATGGGCCTAATAGTAGACAGAAAGTCAGAAATTAATCAGTGATAGATCACAGTGGTCACTGTTCCATTGCCGGTTTGATTTGTTAGAGATTTTCTTAAAGGCAGAACCTAGTTGTGGCCTGTGTGCTTTTCATGCAGTAAGTGCCACTGTTTGCCAGAAAAACAAAAATAAACTGGAGAGTGTTAAGAGATGGGCTAGAAGATTGATTATGACATAGGAAGAACTGATTTATGAGGAAAGAGAAAAATAATTAAATGGGCAGCACTATGCTATAAGAAGAGGCTATGGAGACATGGATATTTATCTGATGTTTCTCTTATGCTGTTTCCTGTAGTATCCATATGAAAGATGCAGAAATATTAGGATGTAAGGATGCTGAGAAATTTGTTACAGGGCAAAGCAATATCAGCTGGAACTACTCAATTAAATTAGGAGCAATATCGAAGATTAAGTTTCAGAAAATTTTACCTGCTGCATGAGAAATGACCTTGAATGGGATGACTTTATCCCTGGGAACTTTTGAAAGCTCTGTGGGCGAAGAATGGAAGATCATTTGTTAAATTGTTGAATTATCTCCCCAGGGAAATAATTGGAACCCCATCCCTTGAAATTTCTAAAATTAGGGTGGATAAAAACCAGGATGTTGCCTATGGGAACTCTCCTGGTGATTGATGAGTGACGTTTTTCTTCTCCAATATCTTTGATTATTGCTCATGGTCACCATACACAGAAACATTTTTTCATCAGGTGGGTATCCTATTTAATTTTTTTTTAAATGCTAGTTTCTAGAAAAACAGTTGGAGTGTGTCACTCATCTGCTGTCCATGATGTCTGCCTCCTTGGCAATGGTAGGCTTACCTGGCATTCTTTTTTCATTTCTCTTCACTACGTAATTCATTAAGAGATGCAATTTAGTATATATGGGAAGTGAATTCATTTCCTGCATTCTCTTCATTCAGAAAGCTAAAAAGAAAAGCCCCAAATATGCCTTGCCTTTTGGAGCCATTTGTCAAATGAATACAGAAACTCTGTATGAAACTCAAATAAAATCATCTAGTGCTTCAGAGCATTTTGTGATCCTTTTTATCCAGATGAAAACCCAGCTCATGTTTGCCTAGGAGTAATGGTCCAAGAGCACTACATTGCCTTCTCCCTCCCTCTGTAGACTTTTCACCTAATGATCTATATTAGCTGAAAAGGGGAGCTCAGAACCCCAATTCCATTGGTCACAAATAAAACACAACACAATTATTTAATATTCTAATTATTACTTTACCTTTTCATACTAGTTCCTTCACATCCACATTTATATTGTCTAGGAGATCTAGCTTAATACAGGTGCTGCTAAAGATAATTTATATCGAATATGTTGACTGGAGATATTAGATATACTTCATGTTGGTATGTAGGAAGGTTTGCGCCAAACTTAAATATTAAGTCACTTTAATTAAACACTTAAATTACGTGCACCGTAACATGAATTGGTTTTTTGTTGACGGTATTTTCTAAATCATTGTACAATTTTATTATTCATGACTTTGTGCTCCTGCTTTAGTTTTTAGAAATTCTATTTGTCTTTAGCCCAGAGTTCTTTCTCCTTTCCTTCTTGAGAGAGGTCTAAACCTAAACAAAAAGGTTAAGATTACAACCTGCTATTGTGTCCCTAATACAAAGATCATCTCCTCTGTATCCTGTTTTTGTGAAAATGGCTCTGACAAATTGCCAGCATCTTACATGTGCAAACACCAACTGTCTTGAAGATGAAAACTAACTGGGAAATAAAAATAAAATTGATGGGTTACAATCTTTCTTTTTCTTCTCTTGCTTCCTGACTGATAGACCTACCAGAAGGGCAGGGAAAAAAAGTCCTTTTTCTTTCTAAATCGTTCTACTAGTGTCATATTGATTCTCTCTCAAGTACACCCCGTGGTCTCAGATGATCACATATTTTCTTACGTTCCTTGTATTGATACAGCACCGTGGCTCATGGGTTGACGTGCGTTGCTTGTACTGGGGCGACACTGCTCATCGTTGGTATTCCTGGGGTGTACCAAGCCTCCTCGGCATGAAACAAGGGAACAGGTTGTTTCACAACAGTACTCTCATTCTTTGAAAAGTGATTATTGTTCACTCCAAGTGCTACCTTAAGTCTCTGTCAGCGTTGCTTAACATTGCTCTTGACCTCTACAATGATACTTGAGTTCGTTTGTGTCTCTGCGGATGCAGGAGGAAAAGATTCCTCAGCTGAGTATCAAGATACTCTGCTGTTACACTATTTGTAAGAAAGAAAGATGTATTATAAGGTGTCTGAGAGAATACAAGGTGACCTGCCCGCACACCGTTGCTTTGGCTCTCTTTCTTACCTTTGTATTCTGTCATCCCCCTCCCTCTGTTTCAGCTAGCCGTGAGGTGGTTGGAACACAACTGCCATTACCAGTACATGGATGAGCTCCTGCAGTATATCCGCTTCGGCCTGATGGATGTGGATACTCTGCATACAGTTGCCCTGTCCCACCCCCTCGTCCAGGCAAGTGAAACTGCAACCGCTCTTGTCAATGAGGCCCTGGAATACCACCAGAGCATCTATGCGCAGCCCGTTTGGCAAACTCGCAGGACCAAACCGCGGTTCCAGTCAGACACTCTGTATATCATTGGCGGGAAAAAGCGTGAGGTCTGTAAAGTCAAGGAACTTCGGTACTTCAATCCCGTTGACCAGGAGAATGCTCTCATAGCTGCCATTGCCAACTGGAGTGAGCTGGCTCCCATGCCCGTGGGAAGGAGCCACCATTGTGTGGCAGTCATGGGGGACTTTCTGTTTGTAGCGGGCGGAGAAGTTGAGCATGCTAGTGGCCGGACGTGTGCCGTGAGGACTGCCTGTCGCTATGACCCCCGTAGTAATTCCTGGGCCGAGATAGCACCCATGAAAAACTGCCGGGAGCATTTTGTGCTGGGTGCCATGGATGAATACCTCTATGCGGTTGGGGGTAGAAATGAACTGCGCCAGGTTCTGCCTACAGTTGAGCGATATTGCCCCAAGAAGAACAAATGGACTTTTGTGCAGTCCTTTGACCGATCCCTTTCATGTCATGCTGGATATGTGGCTGATGGTCTTCTTTGGATATCAGGTAGAACATGCCTCATAATGTTGGATTTATCAAAAAACACTTTTGCTGTGGCGTAAATTTAAAAGTCAAGCTTTGGTAGTGGTGGCCATGTATAATTGAACCACTGAACCAAGGATGCCATGTTAGCTAATTAACATTCATTTATTGGGCACCAGCTCTATAGAGAGCAATGTTAATTGGAAGTGATTGACCTTTTGACTAACATAACATAATAAAATTAAAAAAATAAAAAAAAATTTAAAAAAAAGGAAGTAATTGACCTTTCTGTGACTTTCTGGGTGATTAAAGTATAAGGTGGAAATTAATGGCCCATCACATCCTTTTTCTATACCAAATCTTCTGTTGTTTAGATTGTCAGTTTTTGATACTCATGGATTGTTTTACACACCTTGTGGTTTATCCAGGTTCTTCGCTTTTTTTTTTTTTTTTTTTTAAATCATCCTGGGCTGCTTGACTAGGAGACGTTTCATCAAAGACAGGGCAGGCAAAGTAAAAACCCAGGAAATCCATTTTGATGGGTATATATATCCAGGTAGGAGCCGTGCTGTTCATGGAAGGAAGGGATTTAAGTTATTGGCTAAAATAATGTTCTTGTATTATCTGTGGATTGTAGTTACACCCGACAACCTAACTTCCTTATTCTTGCTTACTCTCCCATTCTTACTGATTATTTGGGGGTACTTATTATTTTAGTTTTCATTTTCTTCGTTTCTTTTAAAAGCCTTTTGATTATGAAAAAAGAGGCTAGTATAATGAACTCTGTGTACCCATGACCCAATTTCAGCAGTATTCCACTCATTGCCAGCCTTGTTTCATCCACACCACACACTGTTGTACACCCCTCATGGCTACCTTTTCACAGGTACAGAAGTCTCTGAGGCAGAAGTTATCAACATCACATTATCAACCTGTATTTTCTAATCCAATTCTTCAAAAGACCTAAACTGTCCTTTGAAAGGATTGCCTATTGGGGAAGAAAGTTCCATCTTCTCTCAGTTGGAGGATACTCATTTTGTAACCCAGATGGCACTTGTTGAATTTCCATGTCAAGGACAAAGAAAAATAGGAAAATCAGATAATTTAAATACTAAGAGTAATTTTGAGATGTTTGTACTTAGAAGACACAATAACTTTTTTTTTTTAAAGTCTCTATGTCTTAATTCCTTTCATGTATTTCACCCATCCCCCTACCTACCTCCCCACTGGCAAGCACCAGTGTAGTGTGTTCTCTGTATTTATGATTCTCTTTCTGGTGTTTTTTGTTTGTTTGTTAATTTGTTTTGTTTTTTTAGGCTCCATCCGTAAGTGAAATTATATAGTATTTGTCTTTTTCGGACTTACTTTACTTAGCATAATACCCTCTAGGTCCATCTATGTTGTCACACATGGCGAGACCTCATTCTTTTTTTTATGGCTGAGTAATATTCCGTTATGGATATCTTCTTTATCTGTTCATATATCAGTGGACACTTGGGCTGCTTCCATAATTTGGCTATTGGAAATAATACTGCAATAAATATAGGGGTGCATAAATCTTTTGAATTAGTGTTTTTGTATTCTGGATAAATACCCCATAGTGGAATTACCAGATCATATGGTAGTTGTATTTTTTTTTAAAGATTTTATTTGTTTATTTGAGAGAGAGAGAGCACAAGCAGGAGGAGCTGCAGAGGGAGAGGGAGAAGCAGGCTTCCCATGGAGCAGGGAGCCCAATGCAGGGCTCGATTCCAGGACCCTGAGATCATGACCTGAGCTGAAGGTAGACGCTTAATCAACTGAGCCACCTAGGTGCCCCTCCTTCATCAATGTTTTATAATTTTTAGAGTACAGGTCTTTCACTTTCTTGGTTAAATTTATTTGTAGGTATTTTATTCTTTTTGGCACAATTGTAAGTGGGATTGTTTTCTTAATTTCTCTTTCTGCTACTTATTAGTGTATAGAAATACAATAAATTTTCATATATTGATTTTGTATTCTGAAACTTCACTGTATTCATTTGTCAGGTTTAGTAGTTTTTTTTGGTTGAGTCTTTAGGATTTTCTGTATATAGTATGATTTCATCTGCAAACAGTGAAAATTTTACTTTTTCCTTACAGATTTGGGTGCCTTTCATTTTTTTTTTTTTCCTGGTCTGGCTGCTGCGGCCAGGACTTCCAGTACTATGTTGAATAAAAGTAGTGAGAGTGTGGACATCCATGTCTTGTTCCTAATCTTAGAGGAAAAGCTCTCGTTTTTTATCCCTTTAAGTATGATGTTAGCTCTGGGTTTGTCATATATGGGCCTTTACTATGTTGAGGTATGTTCCACCTAATCCTACTTTGTTTAGGGTTTTTTATCATGAATATGATGTACTTTGTTAAGTGGTTTTTCTGCATCTATTGAAATGATTGAATGGTTTTTATTCTTTCTCTTATTGATGTGATGTATCATGTTGATAAATTTGTGAGTATTGCATCCCAGGAATAAATCCCACTTGATCGTGGTGAATTATTTTTTTAATGTGTTGTTGGATTTGGTTTGCTAATCTTTTGTTGAGGATTTTTGCATCTGTGTTTCATCAGAGATATTGCCCTGTGTCTTTATCTGGTTTTGGTATCAGGGTAACACTGGCCTCATAGAATGAATTTGGAGGCTTCCCTTCCTCTTCTATTTTTTGGAATAGTTTGAGAAGAATAGGTATTAACTCTTCTTTAAATGTTTGGTAGAATTCACCTGTGAAGCTGTCTGGTCTGGACTTTTGTTTTTGGGAGTTTTCAGATTACTGATTTAATTTCATTGCTAGTAATCCATCTGTTCGAATATTCTATTTCTTCCTGATTCAGTTTTGGGAAGTTATATGATTCTAAGAATTTATCCAGTTCTTCTAGGTTGTCCAATTTGTTGGCATATAATTTTTCATAATATTCTCTTATAATCCTTTGTATTTCTGTAGTGTTAGTTGTTACTTTTCCTCTTTCATTTTTGGATTTGAGACCTCTCTCTATTTTTTTTTTCTTTTTGATGAGTCTGGCTGAAGGTTTAATCATTTTTTTTTAAAGATTTTATTTATTTATTTGAGAGAGAGAATGAGAGCCAGAGAGCACGAGAGGGAAGAGGGTCAGAGGGAGAAGCAGACTCCCTGCTGAGCAGGGAGCCTGATGTGGGACTCGATCCCGGGACTCCAGGATCATGACCCGAGCTGAAGGCAGTTGCTTAACCAACTGAGCCACCCTGGCGCCCTGAAGGTTTAATCATTACAAAGAATCAGCTCCTGGTTTCATTGATCTGTTCTATTGTGGGTTTTTTTGCTCTTTTTTGTTTTGTTTTAGTTCCTGTTTCCTTTATTTCTGCTCTAGTCTGTGTTATTTCCTTGTTTCTGCTGGCATTTTATTTATTTATTTATTTATTTACTTTTTTAGTCATCTTTTTCTAGCTCCTTTAGGTATAAGGTTAGGTTGCTTGTTTGAGATTTTCCTTGCTTCTTGAGGTAGGTCTGTATTACTATAAATGTCCCTGGGCGCCTGGGTGGCTCAGTTGTTAAGCGTCTGCCTTCAGCTCAGGTCATGATCCTGGGGTTCTGGGATCAAGCCCCACATCGGGCTCCCTGCTCATCGGGAAGCCTGCTTCTCCCTCTCTCACTCCCCCTGCTTGTGTTCACTCTCTGTGTCTCTCTCTGTCAAATAAATAAATAAATAAATGTCCCTCTTAGAACAGCTTTTGCTATATCCCAAAGATTTTGGACCATTGTGTTACAATTTTAATTTATCTCCAAGTATTTTTGGATTTCCTCTTTGATGCCTTAGGTGACCCATTCATTGTTTAGCATCATGTTATTTAACCTCCATGTATTTGTGTTCTTTCCAGATTTTTTTCTCATGATTGATTTCTAGTTTCATAGTGTTGGGATCAGAAAAGATGGGTGGTATGACTTCAGTCTTTTTGAATTTGTTGATACTTTTTTTGTGGCCTAATGTGTGATCTATTGTAGAGGATGTTCCATGTGCAATAGAAAAGAATGTGTATTCTGCTGTTTCATGGTGGAATGTTTTGAATGTATCTGTTGGATCCATCTGGTCCAATGTGTCATTCAAAGCCACTGTTCCTTGTTGATTTTATGTTTGAATGATCTGTCCATTGATGTAAGTGTGGGGCTTACTATTTTGTATTACTACAAAGTCCCCTACTATTTTGTATTACTATTGATTACTTCCCTTATGTTTGTTATTAGCTGCTTTATGTATTTAGGTGCTCCCCTGTAGGGTGCATAAATATTTACGATTGTTGTATCTTCTTATTGAATTGTTCCCTTTATGATTATATAGTGTCCTTCTTTGTCTCTTATTACATACAGTCTTTTTTTGAAAATCTTATTTTGTTTGATATAAGTATTACTACCCTGGCTTTCTTTTTTACTTCCATTTGCATGATAAATGCTTTTCCATCCCTTTACTTCCCATCTGCATGTGTCTTTAAGTCTTAAATGAATCTTTTGTAGGCTGCATATTGCTGGGTCTTGCTTTTTTATCCATTCTGTCACCCTGTGTCTTTTGATTAGAATGCTTAGTGCATTTACATTCAAAGTAATAATTGATAGGCATGTACTTACTGACATTTTGTGACTTGTTTTATGGTTGTGCTTATAGTTCTTCTCTATTCCTGTCTTTTCTTGCTCTCTTCTCTCATGGTTTGTTGACTTTCTTTAGTGATATACTTGGATTCCTTTCTCTTTGTTTTTTTTTCGTAACTCTTACTGGTTTTGGATTTGTGGTTACCATTAGGTGCATATATAACATCTTATGCATACAGCAGTCTATATTAAGTTGATGGTTGCTTAAGTTTGAATGCATTTTTTTACCACCCCCTCCACATTTTAGGTATGTATATGGTGTCATACTTTACATCCTTTTATTCTGTGAATCCCTTGACTGATTTTTTTAAAAGATTCATTTATTTGCTTTAGAGAGAGAGACAGAGAACACAAGCAGGAGGAGGGGCAGACGGAGAGAGAATGTGAAGCAGAC